CAGAGAAGTGATTTCATACTGTACAGCAGTAATTCCAACTATGTTTTCACCTTGACTATTACACACCCCATCCGAGGATGAAAGGGTAGTTTATTACCACATCCATTCAGCCCGTAGTTGTTCAGGTAAGATTGACAAGAACAATGATAAGAGGTGGCACTTCTGGTAAATGCATTTCTTTTCGAATGTTGAGCTGACTGAAAACCAACTGACTTAATAATTTTTGAACATCACTGAACTGCAGTTTGCACAAACCCCACCAAACCAGAAGTGAAAAAGAACAAAGGTCATTATAACCTACTAATACATATAACCTTCACACCACCCCTTTTATTTCTGCCTGTCAGAGAAGCAAAATTAAAGTTCTAGAGAAAACACAATGTCATAAGACAAACCATGGCACAGGCACCGACCCTCTCATTTGAATTAGAATCCAATTAGTTTTAGCATGGATACCTGGACACACTGATCCACTCAAAACTAGAATAAGGACTTTTAACTGGTAAGACATTTTTGTTTTTTTAAGAGGCCTCAAAAATCTTGCAATAGAATTCAGTAGGATAATTTGTAAGTTTGATATAAAGTGTATCTTCGGTATTGTGGGGATCAAAAACGTTGCTCATTCATCTGTGTTTTGATTTCCACAAAGTACCTTGCTATTGCTTAAACAGTAAACAGAAACCACACAGAAATGATGTGCAAGTAATCCAATTCTGCTTATATAAAAAAGAAGTTGAAAAATAAATCACATTTTTGTAACAACATGTGAAAACCAGATTATTTTCTGAACTTACATAAGGCTGTGCTTAGATTATTTTTCTAATACTTTTCAAATTTTTTCCACTTGGGATTATTTCTTAATTGGGTCAACTGAAAGTGAATATGAGATGTTAGATGTGAATAATTTCAAAGTAGCAACATTTTTTAACAAGTTTGGATTGGGTGGAGAAATAAGGTGAAATGGAAATGAACTTCGGGCAACAAACACTTATATTTTACATTTATTTTCCTTATCTTATGTAATGAGGAGGACATTTCCTTCTGCATTGTTAACACCTCATATTGCCAGTGTTGACAACTCAGGAAAACAGCCTGCTTACTCACCAAAGGTTCATCAGGAGAGGCAATGGTAAGAGCCCTCCACGAAGTACATAGTGACACTCACTACAACTCTCAGCTCACTGTTTTACTGACAGGCTGACGTAAATGACAGGGTTTGGGATGTGCCTTAGCTGCTAACAATCAGGACATCAGCAGATCAAAGGCAATCAAGTGCAGAACTCCCCTCTTACTGGGAGAACCCTTCTGCCCAGCAGAGAGACCCCAGCTCACTCTTTCTATTGACCAAGCCAAACCTCCCTACAAAACGATTTGCTGCTTTTAAGGCTGCTTCTCATTTTGCAGAAATGTTGGAGGATATCTATGTAGGAGTGAAAGACCCAAAATAGATGAGGATCAGGGATCATTTTCAACTCTTTTACAAGGGGCTTTGAGGGACTCTTATCTCCAATTAGGAAGGTGGCTGTCACAGAAAGGTATGTTCTGCTTCGACTTACCCTGAAGTCAGTTGTAGTGTAGGTATTACAACAACTGAGGCAGGATTAGTCACTACACATTGAAAGAGAGAAGCAATAAAGCAGAATAAACTGGAGTAACCTATTATCTCTCTGAAGGTGAATTCAGCAATTGAAAAAAGTGATGTAAATAACTAGTCATTAGGTGAACAAAAATATAAATTATGTAAGTCTTATTTGTAATTTCAATTTTTATCCTCAGTATTATGAAAGCAATAACTCTACCTTTTAAAAAAATGTATAAAATTAAATGTCTATTTGTTTTCCTCAAAACGAGAAATCAGATCTACATGAACCCTGAGTTCTTTTAGCCTTGCTCCTCAACTAAAATCTAGCCATTAAAGGCCTTTCTTCTCACATAAAACCACAGAAATGTCCATTCAACCTGAAAAGAAATCTATTTCTCCCTTAAATATCTCACAGATCTTTTTTGGCAATTAAATCTGTAATTTTAATATTTATAGATTAATAATTAATCTATAGCTCACTACTAGTATGAAATGTAATGGTTTTTACAATGAACTAATAGTGCATGATTTCCTTTCAAAATTGCATTCATTTCATACTGTGGCAAAGAAAAAATATCAAAATTTAGATCTGCAAAGGGAAGGAGTGCAAAAATGTGCAGTGTAAATGTAACCTCCAGATTCTTCCATGATACCCATGTAAACCTGGGTATACCACTTAAATCTTGTCTACTTCTAATGGTGGAAAATATTGGAAATGAATTCTGTAAAAGAAAGTGCAGTGTAGAAAAGATGGGGAT